AAATGTTCAAAAATTTAACTATTACTTCGTAGTTCGTATGTAATCTGATGAAGAGTGAAGATGTTGAATGTAGAAGAAGTCAAGAAGATGAAGAATGGAGTTTGTTACAATGACGGCGTAGATGAAGAATGGAGTTTACTCTAAGAAGTAAACCTAATTTCCTAATATAAATGTGGTATAAAAAAATAATAATTAATTTTTATTGAAAATTACCGGGTACCCGCCGGTTCCGGTTCTGGGTACCCGCCGGTTCCGGGTACCCAGTCCCGGAACCGGTCCCGGCGGGTACCCGGCGGGTAACGGTTCCGAAAAATTGAGAACCGGAACCGGAACCATTCTCAATCGGTTCCCTATTTTAGGAACCGGAACCGAAACCACTCATATCGGTTCCAGTTCCAGAAGCGCCGGTTCCAGAACCGCCGGTTCCAAGGCGGGTATCCGGTTCCGCTGCTCACCCCTAGCTAAAACCATAAGAAAAACCCAACACTATTTTGTTCGATAGGAACTCGATACATGTTGTAAACTTAAGTTGAAGATAATTCTTAATGGTGCTCGATGCATGATTGTGCTTGTGGTGTTTGATGGAGCTCGATGGTTTTCGATACGAGCTCAATAATCTTGTTTTTGTCTTAGGTTGCGGAAAGGTATCGACTTTACTTTTTTTCATAGGAAAACTGTTGATAAAAATATTTTCATGTGTTATTATTTGCAACTGTTTTAGCATTTACTGTTATGAGATTTTGTTCATATAGACAGTGAATATATAATAGTTGGAAAAACTGAAACATATACATCAGTTATTGTACATGTTTCAACCTACAACGCTCCAACAAGCTTTCTTTGATGAAATATAGCAAAAAAATTCCTCATATTTGCATGTTCGTATAGAACTGAGACTAAGACCATCTCCAGTCACGATCTGAGCAACCGGATCGTGAATGAGACAAAAAGAGTTTTAGAGAAAAAAATAAAAAATAAAAATAGAGAACCAATCTCTACCGATCCTTCTCACTCAACAATCCAGGACTGAGGCACTTTTTGAAAATGAATATGACATGTGTCATTTGTTTATTGGTTGGTTTATTTTTTTTTTTAAATAAAACATATCTAATTAAAAAGTGACTTTAACAAAATAAAATTAAAAAATATATATCAAAATTCGTGGTTTTCAATTCTCTATAGATAGCGCACATTATTGATATATTTTCATACTTACTTTTGTGACTTGTCTTATTTAATTTTAATTGTATGATAAGTTTTTTATAGTTATAATTACGTTTTAAAATAAATCCCGTTTAATTTATTTTTTATATTGAAAATTAAAAAGTAATAATTATATATGATAAAAAATAATTATTATAATTTTTACAAAATTATAATTTTGATTGGATCGGATCACGGTTAGATGAAAAAAGAAGTGAGATTGGGTTGAAGCTGAAGATTGTGTAGACGGATGAAAGAGAAAGTAATAATATTTTAATTAAGATTAGGTTGAAAGAGATTGTGAGTAAACATAGTCTAAGAGGTCTTTTACCAAACTCTTATCGGGTAAATGTTCACCAAGCGTTACTTACCTTACTAAGTGAGCTTTACAATGACCAAAAATCTTACCATTCTTGCATGGTAAGAGGCACAACTAGGAGCACGAAACTTACCTAGTAAGTTAGGGATAAAACTTTTACCTGATAAATGCTTACCGGGTAAAAGATGCTTACCAACAATCTAATTTTTTTAGAGCCAAGAATGGTACTCAACAAGGTAATTGAGGGTGGTGACTCTTATCTGTAAGCGTCTGTGGCTGTTTACCAAACTCTTACCAAGTAAGTTACCTTACCGAGTGAACTTTGCAATGACCAAGAATCTTACATGTAAGGATTATAATAAGGATCAAAAGTCTGACCTTGTAAGTCAGGGAGAAGATTATTACCTGGTAAGTGCTTACCAGGTAAAATACAATCATCAACAATATATTTTGATGACCAAGAATAGTACTGACAAAGGTAATTGAAGATGGTGACTCTTGTCGATAAGCATTTACCCATTAAGTGTTCATCGTTTGGTAAACGACCCCTAAATATACAAATTATTGGTAGGATATCGTCAAAAACACACACACACACGCCTTTCTTGTTATGAGTTACAAATCTATCAAGAAATGAAAAAATAATAGCGAATACACTGTGTTTCTTCATTAACATTACTAAAAAAAGCATCGAAAAGCTAGTTGGACATAAGCTAATGAAACCTCTGTCGAGCACATTTGACTCAATCGAGTATCAACCATCATCAACATCTCGTCAGAGTTTTTCCAATGAGAAAATAATAGAGCTCGTTTTGAGGTTGACATACACTAGAAAGCCTTTTCGTTTTTGGATCATCGCAAGTTATCACAGATTCCATCAGTAGAAGATAGGAGATTCCTGTTTCAGTTTCATCTTGAAGATCTTTTCTTGCTTTTGTTCTTTGTCAATTTGGCAGTATTCACCTTTAATTATCCCATCGAGCGTTTTCATGTTGGATTCTTGAAGGTTTGTTTTATTTGGTCGTTGTTGGTTTGGGAGAGAGAAGATGAGAACAAAAAGACATGGATGATGAGTACTACAACGATAATGTATTTATAATACATCTAAAATGTTTAAAAGGGATGTTCGGTTGTGGTTTAATAGGCTGTATTGCTTATATGGCTTATCCGCCCAACCATAGATACTCATTCAGTTGTGGCTTATTTGGTCAACCAATGATTTAATCACTCAACTGGTAAACAGTACTCGTTAGACTCATCCATTTAATATTCCATTAGTTCCCCAACACGTAAACGTGATTGCTGCTAGTATTCTACCAATGATTAATGGGTATTTGAGGATAACCTATGTAGCTAATATATAAATGTGTTCACGTATGATGCTTAACAAATTCATTTATCAAAACACTTGTTTTATTCAGATAAAAATATAGGCTGGGGATAAAATGTCATTTATAACATTTAGCACAAACCGAACAACAACTTATGAGTTTTATCATACATACGACTTTATCAATACCGACAACTTTATTCATACAGAAAATTTAATAGAATGTTTTAATTTTTATATAATTTTAAGTTTATAAGATTAAAATATAAAACGTCTTATACAAAAATGTTACAACATAAAATTCCGAATTCAAAAAAGCAAACCAATAAAATTTAGATTGTTTATTTGAAACAACTTATGTTTTTCTACAAAAGTGCTTTATCAACTTATTATAAGTCAGAAGAGTTTTAATTCTTCAAAAACTCTTTGTTACCGGTGTGATACCGGTATAAGTTGTTTATCCAAAGACTCAAAATTGTTTATTACCAATACCGCACTTAAATAAGTCAATAAGTTATTTTTATAAACAATCCCAAATACCCGCTTAACATTCTTAATTGCTACGGTTATTAGCAAATCAAATGAGACCTTAATTTTGTAAGTATGATAATTTTTGGAATGTCGCAAATAAATTACGTTGAAAATAAGAAAAATGAAGTGGGACCCAGCGTCATCAAAATCACAAGGTACACGCTTCTTCTTCCTCCATCTTCTCAACCCCGCCATTTAAATCTTCAAAATTCTCCTTCTCTCTCTCTTTTGCCCTAACCTCTTTCTCTCTCTAAAACTCCATTGTTGCTGCTTCTACTCTCTCTCCATCACTTCTTTTGCAATGATGTCTCACTCATACGCAACGGATGCTCAAACGAAATCCGCCGACCTCGCCGCCACAATCGTCGCCGCCTCAACACCAACGGAAATTGCCACCGCTTGCGCTTCCATTGAGTCATTTCTGCATAAGCACTCACCTGACCAGTCTCGCTGGTTCTTCTCCCTCACTTTTCCAACCCTAATTTGCAAAATATTCGGTTTCGATGAACAGAAGCCCCAAAACCCTAACGGTAACGGTTGGATTGACGTTTTAACGTCGGCTAATGATACGGAGATCTCTGGTAAGGTCTTAAACCTTCTTTCTCCTACTGGTGTCTTAATGACTTCAGTTACAGCTGTTGATCGGTTATCTCTTGTTAAATATGTTTTCCCGATTGAACGCTTGCCTGAATGGGTCCGGCTGACGTTACAAAACGCTAGGGAATGTGCTGTTCTGTCTGATTTATGCCCCTTATTCAAAGGGAGGCTTAAAGATGGAGTCCCGTTTCAGGTTCAGTTGAATATTTTGGAGTATTACTTGTTTTGGTTTGCTTATTACCCTGTTTGCAAAGGAAGCTGCGCCAATCGTACCAGGGTCGGTGCTAGCACAAGTAAAAGATTCAGGTTAGAGAGTTGGGCCTGTAAAGCAATTCCAGTGTTTGGTAATTCTAGTAAGCCTCGTGGAAGTGAGCAGAAGAACAACGACAGTGATAATTTGTATATACGACTTTTGCATGCTTATCTTCGTTTCTTTGTGCCTTTGAGTGATTTGAATTCTCATTCGCCTTACCGGAGTTCATTGTTGCATTACTCTTCAAGTTACAATAGTTCTGTTCTTGAGAATGCAGAGTTTTTTGTTCATACGCTTATACATTTCTGGATTGTGGATAATGACTTCTCGCCTTTGTCTGTTAAACTTTGCAAGTCATTTGGTATTGTACTCCCTCTTCGGTCGATTCTAGCTGAACTTCCACCCACAGCTGGGTTGGGTGAGGTTGTTAATGTGTTTGTGAAGTATCTAAATTCAAGTTTAGTTCCCAATGCTGTTGAGGGGTGTGATCAGGTGGAACTTTTTAAAACTACTGCATGGAGGGCAATAGGTTCTGTTGATTTGAAGTCCAAGGAGATATTTTCTGGTATGGGATCTGTTGGTTATTGGAACTCATGTATCCAGAGGCCACTCTACAGATACATTTTGAGAACATTCATGTTTTGTCCAGTGGAAACTTCTGTGAAGAATGTTTCTCAAGTGTTTTCCCTTTGGGTCAACTATATGGAACCATGGGCAGTTAAATTGGATGAAATTCCAGAGCTTGATGTGAATGCAGATACTTTGAAGAGAGATTCTGTGAAGGCGGTTAATATATCTCAACCACATGAATATTCATCCTCTTGGCAAGGCTTTGTGTTATCAAACTACCTTTTCTACAGTTCCCTGGTTATGCACTTCATTGGATTTGCTCATAAGTTCATTCACACTGATCCAGAAGTTATAGTGCAGATGGTATCCAAGGTTTGTTTTTTTTTATTATTCTGTCACGATAACCATTTAGCTTTGATTGTGAAATTGCTGAATTCCTGAGATCTTTTATTGATAAAATCCAAGTTCATTGTCTGGACATTGCTTTTGAACTGGTTTGTCTTCTTGGAGCCGAGTTAAGTTTCTGGTTGTTCTTGTGATTCAAGATATATTTACATTCTATTATTGAATCTTTAACCTTTTTGTTGATAAAATATAAGCTTGGTGGTATGGTTTAGCTTGTTGAGATGGGGTCAGGTCATTCAAGTTTTATCCGTACAGAGAAATTCACTTGAATGAATAGGGAGTAGGAGGGCATGGTTATGGAGCCTTGCTCTTCAAGAAATTGTTCTATTTGCACATATTTTTTCTGATCATAGTTTAGATTAGTATATATGTTATGCGTAACATGGCTTTTTGATTAGCATTTTTCAGATCCTAGTCTAAGTGAAAACTGATGAAATTGAACTATCTGTCCCTTGATGCAGAAGCCATCATTTAGTCATTGAAGAAGATTACAACTTTGTGCATGTTGAATGCACTGAATAATTTAAACTAATTCATTTGTTGAATTTGGTATACCAACTTTGAATGCTAAAATATTTTAATGAAGAAAACACTAGCATTGGAAAATAGAACTAATATTAGATCAATTGTATAACCACAGTACCTAGAATGTCAATAAGCCTTTTATACTAAACTAGTTGGGCTAGATCAACCTTTTTATCATTTGTGATGGCTCAATTGTAATCTTGGTCTTCTTTATATGATCAATATCATCATTTAAAAAAAAACGTTTGAGGTGTACTCCTCAAAGCGTGCCTTGAGCTGATGTGGTAAGTATGTGTGTGAGGCGATGCCTATGCTACTCAAGATGAGTCGTATGCATTGGTTTCTTGATGTGGTGTTTTGCAGCAGACGAGGCATACTTTTTTTTATTAGTAACGTTTAGTTAGGTTCTTTTAATTGAAACCCTATAGTTTAGACGGTGCCTCTCTTTCGCATATGGATTTGCTCTCTTTTCCTCCCTTGCGACTTCCCTTTTCTCTCTCACAACAATTCTCTTCTCTACTGCTTCAACCTATCTCTTCTTTCTTCTTCACACTTCCTTCCCTCCCTCCATCATGTCTTCTTCCCAGTGTACTAGCTGCAAGAAAGAAAATTATGGCAATAATGGTAAAATTATGCAGTATAAGTTTTCTGACTTGGACGGTCTCGAGACTTACACTCGCCTCATCGAGGGAAAACCTTTTGCCTCGTGCTTTTGTAGCTTAAAATTTTGGTTGCACTATGTCATAATGTACCTAAGGAAGTCAATAATGAGATCACCTAGTATTGAAGATACTTGCAAGATGCAAAGTTTTCTTATCAACAAAATTTTGAGGAGACGATGGATTATTGAGCTTATTTTGTTAGCGGTGGTAGTGGAAGTGGCAATCAATTAGATTGACATGGGTGCGTCCTAATAGTAGTTCTAGAGGTTATGTATCAGTTTGTGGAGAGTAAAATAGATGATAGAACGACTTCTGCCCAAAAAATGACTCTAATGAGTACTAAAGAGCACCATAATCAATTGTTTTGGGTAGTGGTGGATTCTTTTTTGAGAATGGTATCCATTTAATCATACAACAAACCTATTATAATTCATAACTAAACATATCATATAGGTTGAGGATTTAAAGCTTCTACAATACATGAGATGAGGACTTGGATACTAAAAGAAGTGAAGACAACATCTAAAAATTGGAAACGAGATGAAAACGAGATGAAAACTTCAAAATAAATAGGGGTTACATTATATTATCAAATGGTTGGTTAGATACGAGAAATCAAAGTCTAACAATTATTCAATAATTGTTTTATAAAATTTCTGATGCATTAGATTGTGTAAAAGGTTCACAAAAGCTGCTGGGATTGCTTGATAGTGTTATTGAATGATGTGGCCATTGAAAATGCGGGTGCATTCAAAGCAACTGTAAATTAATGGAGAATAGTAAGGGTTGTATCAGACTTCGTTGGCTTCTCATTGTGTCAATTTGATGCTTGAGAAAATTGGAGAATCGCCCAACAAAATAATTTTTAGCTTATTCGCGATTGTGACAAATGTTTCTTCAGTGCAAATCATTTATTTATGCACAATGTCAACAAAATGACGCATGAGCACCAAAGCTCAGACAACAACTAATTATACCGTCCTTTTAGTTGGGATTTTCAATCATGCCGTGCAAAGTCAATCCTCCTTTTCACGCATCACATACTTCATTTCTTTTGCAAGTGACCAACCAAAGCCATGCTATTTCTTATATTATGCGTTAATGCTAATACAAAGGAAAGAGCAAAAGGAGTTGGCAGTATCATCATTAACCATCAATGGTTGTTGAGTTTGGCAAGAAAATTTGCAACCAAAGATCTTCAACAAGTTGCCACACGATTTGTCATTGCATTTTTATTTTAAGTATAGTTTCTCCATGGTGAGGTTTAAAAGTTGAAGCGGGTTGATACCGAGATACCAAAGTTGAACAAAAAATTCATTTTGACAAATATCCCTGTTACTTCTCTTCTGCAGGTTGTAAACGTGTTGACATCGTCTAGGGAACTTGTGGACCTCATAAAAAATGTGGACACTGTTTTTCATTCGATTCCAGCTGGATCATCCAAGTCAGTGCTTAATACATTATACAGATTCGTTCCTTCAATCCGTGAACAGTTGCAGGTAAATTCATATTGTAATGCAAACATAATATTTGCAAATAACTTGTTAATTTAGATTGCTCTTCTGCACGTTTCAATTACTTCCTGGTTTCAGTTTTGACGGCTAGTTCTATCTTTTGTTCTCCTTATGGTTGATGTAATTTAATGCATATAATGAAATTTGATATGAAATGAAAATGTCATAATAGCATGGGTGTCATTTGTTTTGATTCTTCTTTAATTTTGATTTACTAGGACTGGGAGGATGGGTTATCTGAAACTGATGCTGATGGATCATTCTTGCATGAGAATTGGAATAAAGATCTGAAACTATTCAGCACAAGTGAAGACAGTGGACAGCAACTTCTTCAGGTTTTTTCTCTTTGCCCTCACTTTATTCTGAACATAATCATTGGTATAAATACTACTCTTTCCATCCCAAAATACATGTCCAAAATGAAATTACACAATTTTAGAAGTGTGTAGTTATTACACTTTATAATTAACTACTACTAATAATTTGGGAAGTAATGAATTCTCCATTTCATAATTAAGGTAGAATTGAAAAGTAGGCCCTTACTTTTGGAAGTGGACGCTTATTTGGTGGTAAACTAACATAGAATTGTGGACTCTTATTTTGGGACGGAAGAAGTATAATACACCTAATAGGGTTACATCTTAGCATGTGGTTGTAACTTAAAAAAAAAAACAGAGATGAAAGACTTAGGGTCTGTTTGGCTCATGCTGAGATGAAAATGGGAATGAAAATGAGAACGGCAGGGAATGAGTTTTCGTTCCCCCCCCCCCCCCCCTCTTTAACCAGGAATGAAATTTTGGGCTTCTGGGAGAATGAGCCCATTATATTATAGAAAACCAAACAGTTCATTTTATTTTCATTCCCATTGATTACTGCCTAATACCTCTAACCAAACACCCCCTTATAGTTCAAAAAAGCGACGACCCTTTTATAGTTCTTCTTTGATCGGGGGAACGAAGGTCTTTAGGTTTAGGTTTATTTACTACTCCTTATTTAGATACCACCATTTGTTAATCTCTCGTTCATTCTTACTGCAGCTCCTTGCTTTGCGTGCCGAATCTGAGCTTCAAGTTACCTCACATGAAAACCTTCCTAACAACCTACAGCTTCTAAGTTCCCTCAAGGCCAGAATGGGATTCTTATTTGGTGGCAACATCATAAGATCTCCTAGCATAATAGCAGAAGGAAAACAATCTGAAAAATCACATCATCATGAGATATTCCGGCCTAGAACCGCTGGAAACCGACCGACAACAGACATACGTTACAAGGGTGACTGGATGAAGAGACCAATCTCCAATGATGAGGTGGCATGGCTGGCCAATCTACTTGTGAGATTGTCTGGGTGGTTGAACGGAATTCTTGGGCTGAATCCGTGGGAGAATAATGGCCATGTGGGTCCTGCCAGCTGGTCATATGTGGAGGTGTCAGGGGGCGATACTTATGGAGCTAAGGATACAATGAGGTTGGTATGGAGTTGGGTTATGAAGTTCATGAGAGAACACGGTATGCGGGTGAATTTGAGAATGTTAGCTTCAAAGAAGGTAGTGACTGTGGTACTTATTGCTATTGCATTCAGTGCACTCAAGAGAATGCTTTCAAACTTCCATCTGGTCTAACTTAGAAAGGAAAAAAAGGATGATTTTACACATGTTTTCGTGTTGTTGAAATGTTAGCGAACGCATGGTGTATTAGAATCGATTACATATGTGCATACGTCTTAAAAAGGAAAGAATTTTGGCACTAGTATTCTCTCTCTCAGTTTCATTCGAGGTATTTATGGAAACAACCGTACTACTTTCTCGGGGAAGAGCACATGTACCCTACCGCAGATGAAAGGTCAATGTACATCTACCCCTTGAACCCTAGTTTTGGTTGGGGTATGCTGGTCGGTTTGGTTTGGCTTATTTCTTTGATGCATCATCTTCGTTGGCCATGCTGCAAACGTTTGTTGCAGGTATGAGTGCATTCTGCAAACGATTGTTGCAGGAATGAATGCATTCTGCAAACGGTTGTTGCTGGTATGAATGCATTCTGCAAACGGTTGTTGCTGGTATGAATGCATTCTGCAAATGATTGTTGCAGGTACACTACTTGTTGTACTCATGCCTCAAAATTACCGACTGTTGGATGTTCAATCAATGAATTTCCACATTGTCAAACAAGCTAGGGGCTGTTTGGTTGGTTTTCTATTAAATCTTGTATAGATAAAGCTGTCTATGTGAAGTATGGTTAGGCTTTTGTTTGTGCGGAGGTTTTTCCTAGATGAAGGATCATGTTTTTCATTGGGAGGAGCAAGTTAGAAAAACTTGGCTTTCTGCATAAACATCTCCTTTAGAAGCTTATTGAATAAGTCACTTTATTTTATCAAAGCATTGCTAAACAGTTATCTATATCTATACTATACTATAAAGCATTTGACAAAAATTCTTAAAAACTATTTTTTATGCACGAAGTACTGGACATTGATGCAAATTACTTAAAATTTCATATTACAAGTAAATTATGCACAAGTACAACTTATTAAAGTTTCATGTTTGAATTCGTGTAACTAACTGTGGATAAACATCTTATTTAAAATATAAAAAATTTAAAATATAATTAGGATAATTACCGAGTTCTAATAAAATAATTAATTATTATCTTTATAAGAAAATTATATTGTTAAACCAAATGTAAATTACTTCGTTATTGAACCTAAATTATATTATAATATTGAATTAAAAATTACACAAAAAATAAGGAATTTTAAGTAGTTAATTTGATACTAATATCGATATAATTTTGTCAAAATTTTATGATATCTTCAAATTTATATTTTATTAAAAATAAAAACTTCATCGTTTTTTTAAAATCACATAAGACCATATTATAACATCGACTGAGATAAAGAATAAAATGAAATATTAAAATCAAAATGTATCTCGTTGAATTGCGCAAGTACCCTTCTAGTTATATTATAAAGCATTTGACAAAAACTTTTAAAAACTATTTTTTATTCATGAAGTACCGTTTATTGATGTATATTACTTAAAATTCAAGATTACAAGTAAACTGTGCGTGAGTGCAACTTATTAAAGCTTCATTTTGAATTCATGTAACTAACTTCAGATAAACATAATCAAATAGAAGATAAACATTTCATTTTAAATATAAAAAAACTAAAATATAATTAGGATAATCATTGAGTTCTAACGAAATACTTAACTATTATATTTATAAAAAATTATATAATTAAAACAAAAAAAAAATGAATCAAAGAAATACACAAAAAAAGGAGAAATTTTAAATAGTTAGTTTGATACTAATATCAATATTTTTTTATGATATTTTCATATTTATATTTTATTTAAAAATAAAAATATTATCTATTTCTCAAAACCACATAAAATCGTATTATAACACAAAAAATAAATGAAACACTAAAATAGAGATGTATCTCGTTGCATTGTGCGAGTACCATTATAATATATAGCTAATGGAATAAGCTGGGAGTTACATTAACTTCATTAAGATGCTAACAAAAATGCCTCTTAATTTTACGTGGAGGTAGGATTGGGCTTGAGACTTGGCCTGGTGTTTGTATCCCTAGTGATGGTAGCAAACCGGTTGCAGTCTCGGTCCTGGAATATTGTAAGTGGTTAAGTCGGATTTGGTCCTGGTTATAACTGGTTGGCAGGTAAAGTATTGGTAATTGGTGTTATAACTAAACCTGCTCTTTTTTAGTTTATAATATGCAAAAAATCCAAAAATTGTCCTTAAGGCTGCTTTTGGTACATGGGACGGGACATGACAGGACGAAACAAAACCCACTGTCCCATGTTTGGTGCAACATGAGATAGAACAAGAACTCACTGTCCCACGTTTGGCGCGACATGGAACAAGGACAAGAACTGGGACTAGATGAGACAGCATGAGACAAAAGAGGTTTTTTCTTGTTCCACCAAAATAGGTGGAACAAGATGGGACAAGAATGAGACAGAAACTAAAATATTATTAATCTACCCTAGTTTGATATATAACCTTAATATGATATTTGTTTTAATGGTCATCCGCTAGTTTCAGCCGCCGCTACCACTACCGGCGGTCACCGGCGACCACCTCCACCTCCTCTTCCACTACAACAACATCCTCCACCGCCTCCACAACCATCGTCCATGAAGTCCATTGCCACCTCTACCATAGTCGACCACCGACCACCACCTTCAACTCCTCCTCTACTGCAACAACCTCCTCCACGACCTCCACGACTACCGTCGGCCACCACCACCTCCACCTCCACCATAACCAAAACCACCTCCGCCACTACTACTACCATCAATTATATTAAATTTTTCATTCAAATTTGATGCAAATTGGAAATTTATGTACAAATATTTATTCTTTGATTATTTACTTTATTTGTGTTAATTATAGTTATTATATAATATTTAAAATCATCAAATAACTTTTGAGGGTAACTTGTCTGGTTTTGTTCTGTCCAGTCCTAGTCATACCAAACAACAGACATACTCCTGTTATGTTCAGTCCTGTCCAGTCCTACCCTCTTGTCATGTCCTGTCCTCTTCTGTCCTGTTCATTTATGTCCAATTATGTCTGCGTACCAAACGCTACCTAAAGCATTTGACAATAATATATACTATATTATAAGTCATTTCACAAAACTGTTGAAAAATCATTTTTTATGCATGAAGTATTGTTTATTGATGCATATTACTTAAAATTCAAGATTACAAGTAATTTTGCGTACGTACAACTTATTGTAAGCTCTATTTTTTAATTCGTGTAACTAACTATAGATAAACATAATCAAATATAGGATAAATATATATTTTAAATATAAAAAATCTAAAATATAATTAAGATAATCAATGAGTTTTAACAGAATGTTTAATTATTATTTTTATAAAGAATTATATTATTGAATCAAAAATAAATTTCTTTGTAATTAAATTAAATAAGTAATACCAAAAAAAAACTATTAAATAATTAATTTATACTAATACCAGTTTATTTTTTTCAAATTTTTATGTTATTTTCAAATTTATATTTCATTCAAAAATAAAAAAGCATTACCGCTTTCTCAAAACCACATAAAATCATATTATATCAATAGAGACAAATAATAAAAACTAAACATTAAAATGAAGATTTTTCTCACTGTATTATACGAGTACCCTTCTAATTTATATTTAACAAATGTAGGTCTCCGCTACATTTATTTATAAAAAAGTGATAGATTTGCGTGTTATATGAAGTAATTAATCAATAAAACTATTTATATACAAACATAAACTAATACAAATTATTAATGAAATTAATTTAGAAAAATGAAAAGGATGTCGTTGTTTTGTAAATTCTCTTAAAATATTATATTTCACCCATTTAAGGAAAAAAACGAATTTTAATAAGGTTTTTTTTGTTTAACAATTTATTATTTATAAAAAGATAAATTAAATATTGTTTTAATTACCTTTTTGTATATATTAAATATGCTATAAATAGAAAAATATTAAAGCTGAAATACAGACTGCTTTCCATACAACAAAATAAATTTAAAATTCATATTATATATAAAAAGTATAATTAGGTTTTTTAAAAACACTTCTAAAAGGGTGTTTGAGATTGCTTATAAAAACAACTTATAAACTTATTCTAATCTGACACCGGTAATAAACAATTTTAAGTGTTTTGATAGATAACTTATACCGGTACCAAACCGGTAATAAAGAGTTTTTAAAAAAGTTAAAGCCTTCTGACTTATAATAAGTTATAGAAGTTTCTCATCTCGTTTAATTGATAGAAGTTTGGTAATTAGGAGCAGAGCAAGATATCTTGCTAGAGTTTCTATATTTTTCTGAACATCGACAAAGATACAATCAACAAGCAATATCTTTTGGGCAAACTTAAATAAAAAATGGTTGTTTGTAAAATCCAACGTCCTCAAAAAGATGATCCATGGCACATAAAAATGACCAGAGGAACTAAGCACATAAAAATTTGAAAAAATTTACATTTGAGTGGGGGCGTTTCGTCATCTTAGTCCGCCCCTGATCACCAGACATCATCAACTGCAAAGGCGGCCGCGGGTGGCTATGAATCAAGGGAGGATGATGAGAGGCGTTTTATATATAGGGGGCTTAAAATGAAAACCGAGTTTCGGTTGTAAACCGGGGGGGCAAAGGATAGCGCAACACGTATCATGAATAATGAATCAATTTAATACGGAACATGATTGTGTATATTCATCATGAGTAGTTCATGAACTTCACCTTCGTTATTCATACTGAATGTAAATGTCGGGGGGACGTATCACGCTCTCTCCTTTGTCCCTTGTTCATACATTTCTTTGGTACATATAACTAAACGGCTTACGAGACCAAACAATCGTATGTCTTATTAATAAAATTATGTACATTTTTTTGATAATAATAATATAAGAATCGTTAATTGTTTGGTCCTATAAAAATATAACTTTTTGGTCTCTAATAAAGAAAAAATTAAAATACTCTTATGTGAATGACACTCAATAGCTTGCAGTTAAACGATGTTAGTAGCAGAAATCAAACTCATAAAAAAGTAAAACTACAATAACCAAAATATAAAAAAAAAAACTATCTGTGTGAAAAAATATTTAATTGTTTTATCATAAATATAATTTATTATGTATTATTTTATTTTATCAAAAAATATACAGTTTTGTTAAATTAAAATAACTAAAATATCAAAAAAATGAACCAAAAAATATATTTAATAAATCAAAAAAGAAAAATAAATAAACAAGACTAAAATACCGCTAAGTTAATGGATGATTTTTAACATATTCAGTTCAGGTCCACGAAAACAACAATAAATTACAAAGTATAGGGGCGAAAATTGCAATTTCAAAATCACAAGGACGGGAATGATAGTTTACTCTTTATATTCCTTTTAGAATTTTCATTTTTTATTTTACACATTTATCATATTATAATTTAAAAATACAAAATCATAGACTAAATAAAATACATTAAAAATGCGTTTTTTTTTTGTTATTAATTATAAAATTATAATCATCTTGTAAATACCTTCAAAATAAGTTTATAATTGAATAATTTTTGGACTTAATAATATTATAAAGTATCGTAAATACGTACAAATATATACTCTATTATAGAAGGCCTTAAACAGTTATATATTTTAAGAGACTAGAATGATACTCGCGCAATGCAGCGAGATATATTTTGATTTTAATATTTTATTTTATTCGTTATCTCAATTGATGTTATAATATAGTTTTATGTGATTTTGAAAAACGATGATGTTTTTATTTTTTTAATAAAATTATAAATTTAAAGATATCATAAAATTTTGATAAAAATATATCGATATTAGTATAAAATTAACAATTTAAAATTCTTTTTTTTTTGTGTAATTTTTAATTCAATTTTTTAATTATAATTTAATTTAGATTCAATAACAAAGTAATTTATATTTGGTTTAATAATATAATTTTCTCATAAAGATAATAATTAATTATTTTGTTAGAACTCGATAATTATCCTAATTATATTTTAGATTTTTTATATTTAAAAATAAGATGTTTATCCGCAGTTAGTTACACGAATTTAAACATGGAGCTTTAATAAGTTATACTTATGCATAATTTACTTATAATCTTGAAATTTTAAATAATATGCATCAATATACAATATACAGTACTTCATGCATAAAAAAATGTTTTTAAGAGTTTTTGTCAAATGCTTTATAATATAGCATAGATATTTCTTTAGACATAACTTGACAAATCTAAAAAAAATGTATAAATTACGTTTCTATAGATAAAAATGTAAAATGGATTCACATATATATTCTATTTGGTAAAAATCAATTTGTACTAGGTCTTTTTGTTACATCTATTCAAAATTTACACTTAAATACATGATATGGGTATACAACTAGTATCAGATAGACAAAAAAGAGACAAAAATAAAACACGATTGACATTTAAGTTCTCGACTTTAAATCAAGATGCACACCACAGTATCGTGTGAATACCTTACTAGTTAAACCAGATGCTAGAGACCAAAATTTTATTTCGAAGTGTCAATGGTGGAATTTTGTATCATTTAAGTTCTCAACTTCAAATCAAGATGGACCCTGCAGCATCGCACAGGTATCTTTAGGGATGGACTCAGTACGGTACCAATTTTTTTTCTTCTCAATACCGTGTACCAACCAATTATAATTGGTACACAATGTTATACCATGTACCAACCAACTATACTTGTTGCCGACTTTTTTTTGTTTGATACATGTTGGTACCAACTTCCGGCTACGAATATGAAAACTTACCATTTTGTTCAAATCTTGAGTAAGATTTTGAGTTTCCATGTAATATAAGTAACGTTTAAAGCTTTTTAATTGAAAGAAATAGAACTTACAGACGTTCAAAATGTTCAAAGAAAATAGTTAAGTTACAATAATTAATATTGGATGCATAAAGAGTACAAAAACTTATAAGTAATAAAATAAGTCAGTACCATTGTACTACTTTGGAATGAGACTTTCAATACCATGTATCAAATCAACAAACTGTAATTGATACCAATTACAGTTGATACTTGGTAAAAATTTGTGACCACTAAGGTGCCTTCCTAGTTAAAACACATCCTAGAGACCAAAAATTTATTTCTTAGGTTCAAATATAAGGAGGAATAAAAATCTTCTTATGGCCACGGATGTTCAAATGCGGTAACTTCGGGCTATCTGCAAAGCAGGTGGTCACCCTAGAATTAGTCGGCTCGCATAGCGGGTTGGATATCCAGGTTAATAATTTTTTTTATTTTGAAGAGTGGATGATGGGATTTTTATCATTTAACAAGATCAGGGGCTAAATTGATAAATCTGATTTGTGAGGGATCAAAATTAGCAAAAACTAAAATCAAGTTAAACATTCGTTTTCACCTCCTTGTTGGCTTGGCGGCTGCTACTGCTTCCACTTTGGCTAAAACAGAGTCCACAGCTTTCCGGTTTCCGGCGACCTAAACATCCTAAACCGCCGGCGGTATCAGCACCACCTCGACGGTTACCACTGACTCTGAGGGAGTGTTTAAAATAAAAAGAAACAAAGGCTATCTCCTTTTCTTCACGCATTAAAAAAAATGAAATTTAGGTTTTCGCAGAGACTGCCGTTGTTTGCTCATGGAACAATCGTCAATCGTCAGCGTCTCCGTCCAAATTTGTTCTTCCTCCGTAAGCTGCATACTACTACCAAGCAAGCCGGAGCTTCAATTAACGGCGGCGGAAGTAGCAGCGACTCTAAAGGTAACTGGATTTTCTAAATACTTTATTGTGGATTTTCTATATACATTCTGAATTGGTTGCAAAATGGAAGATGATGGAACTAAATACTACTGAACATTATGTCATCGATTTTTACCCAAACTCGAGCTCAAGACTAAACCAAACCAAACCAAACAAGGCCATTTTAATTCAAAATTTGATGTCAATTTAGAGGAAATTAAGGGTAAGTAAAGGGTATGATTGTATAAAAAGGATCATTGACTCGAAATGTAAATGTAAAAGCATGCCCCATTTGACCTGCATAAGTCAAAATCTATTTACTTTCATTAAGATGTTGGTATTTATTAAGTGTAAGTTGTATAAAAAAGAAATTAGTCATGTGTAGATAAGTAGATTATCTACACAAATCACTAATTCTGGCCGAATTTGATATGATGTTACGAGGTATGGTGAAATTATTAGGTGACTCTTGCTTTTCATCCCAAGGTTGCATTGTTTACAACCAACTATTGACACTTGACAAACTATGCAGGTAATCCTTTTCTGGTACCTGGGGCAACTGTGGCAACTATATTGATGCTTGGAGCTCTCCATGCTAGACGTATGTACAGTGACAAGAAAGTATGTATGCCAAATTTCTTATTATGCTGAAAATTGAAAATAAGAAACTTTACTTGTCCTGCATTTTGTTTTTGATCAATTGAACCTTTATCTGTCCTAATATTACCTTAGCAGTCCATATGAGGTTCTGTTATAGTGATGAATGGAATATGCTGTGTGGGAGTGATGTCTAGGTTTCATCTTCAATTCAATGATTAATTAGAAAACTTAAATGCTGATAGCCTCTTTAACATAACAGTGTTGAAAATTTGAGGAATGTGTATGTGTGATTGTATTTAAGTATTAAGCACATGAATATGCTGTGTGGTGGATGTCTAGGTCCCTAACTAGGAGCTTTGAGGTGACTCCCATTTCTTAAATTTAATCTTTTACAAGAAACCTTTCTGGCTGCACTTGTCAAGTGGAAGTATGAAAAGTTGTGTAGACTAAACCAAACCAAATCAAGCGAACTTAGTATATCCCACTCGAAGGTAGGGTCTGGGGAGGGTGGAATGTACACAAACCTGATCTCTACCCCAAAGAGTAAGGCTGATCTCTATCCCAAAGTGTAAGGCTGCTGTTTCTGTGAAGACCCTCGGCTTGTGAAAAGTGTGCCCAAAAAGAGAATGTTTGCACCCAAAAGAATATGAGACAAGAAAGGCGAGTTAGGAGCAAGTAACAACATATAATCAGAAGTAGGTTCAAGAAAATGGCTAAAGCCACCATGTCCATCCTCACCTAACCCGACCCCAGTACCTCGTTTGCTCCAATCTATGCTAGCTTCACATACCGTCCTAATTTGCTACCTTAATCCTTCATCTCCAATAACTCCTATGAAATGCCTACAGCCACCATGTCCAACCTCAGTTGTTCATCCCATGCCAATCCTGTGTCTCCAATAACTCCTATCGGTCTTTATTTATTAAATAAAGTATGTTACCATAGAGACATGAATAACATGTTTTCATGCCATATCTAGGGCAACTCTGTTAGTATTGGGATGATTATGTTATTCTAGTTGTAATGTATTTAAATATTTCACTAGCTAGGTTTGTGTGTCTCTGCCCATGGCCCATGAATGTAATCTATAAGTTGGTGTCATTTCTCTAATAGTAATATACTTCTTTCCGAGAACCCTATTGCTCTTAACAAATGCCTTTGATATAATTTTATAAAGACAGAAGACCTTCCTAAGAGAGATGGATCTTCTCAAGTTTATGCTCACTATCAAATCTTGTCCTCGTGGACAGAAGAAAGAACACTTGGCTTCTGGGTCTTGCTTACAATAGGATATCAATCTTTCATTCTGAAGTCTTTGGCTTTGTGCTTGGACACGGTACAAAGAGATGGGATTAACTCAAGTTTCTCTATATCTATACCTCTCCTAATGGTCTCCTTTTACAACCTCTTACTGTCTCATGGATGCATCCAGAGGTCTGTTTTGGAGATGACCAACCATTTGAAAATTGAAACAAGTCCTCAGCTGGGGCACCCTAACCTCCTCGTGGATAACATATTTTCTGATTGGTTAACGTCCCCCATTCAAATCCTAGGTCTTTTGACATCTTATATTACTTAACTTTCATCAATGAAACTTTCAGATCATTTAAGAGTTGTCATGCTTGTCAGCTACCACCATTTCATCCACCCAAATGTTATCATATGATCAACTTCCTCATCATTTCTCTATTCTTACCTTATATTGGACCCACATAACGAAAATTATCCTTCATCGCTATTTTCGGCATGTACGTTTTTACCGGTTGAGCATGAAAGAATAAAGAATGAAGCAACTCCAGGATAGGTTGGATATCTGGATTTGACAGGTGGGAAGTTGACCTTACATTTCAAATGACATTGTTATTAGGTCATGCTATTGTTTGTAATTAATCGTCAGTGAGAGTAAGCTGACTCCTACCCCAATGAATGGGTGGATAGCTAGGTCCTTCATGCTACGTTTATGACTTAGAAGGGTACTCGTTCTATGCCCATATCGGTCAAACTAGTACATGGCGACCTTTAATTTTGGATTTTCCATTTTTCTACTTTCACTTCTATAAGCTTACCTAACAGTCACAAACCTTTTACAAAGATATTCTAGGGAGTACTAATTTGCAATATAGTTGTTAGTGTGTGGTGATTTTTATGGTCTCTGGTACTAATATGATAAGTTTTCCAAGTTTAAATACACTATGAGGATCCTAAAAGGACATTCTTATATGGGGGAAACAGAAAATGACTCATTAAGTGAGTAGCAATATTAACCAAGAAAAGCAGTTTGACCACAGAAGTTACTTGAATACAACTTCAGATTATTATACACACGGTAGATTGCTGAACAAAGAAAGTTTGTTAAAGGATATCAATATTATTACTAGAGTTGGTCGCCTCAACTGTCAATGTCCTTTGGATGCATGGACTAACCAATATGACATCCTTCATTAATTCTATTTTCACATTTTTTGACAAACTTGAATTGAAGGATGTTATCTCCAAACGTGCTTGTAGTTGTATATCTATCAGTCAGATGAATTGTTGGAGTTTCGAAAGTGGTTTTTGGACATTTGTTAACCTACCTCTTTATTTCCTGGTATCCAGATTGTAGAGGCAAGAGAAAGTGGCATTGAACTCGAGATCCAACCGGATGTGAAAGTATTGTTTCTCTCTTGCATATCATTATATCTCAGACCATGTAACTATCGTTATTGCTTAATACTTAACTTCTAAATCACATTGCCTGGCAATTGCAGGCTAAGTTTCTGAGTATGTTACCCCTGCGCTCCATTTCAAGGTTTTGGGGTTCTGTGTCCAGCACGGTAAGGGCTCATTCAAACACAAAAAATTAGTTATGTTGTTTAGCTGGTAATTTGGTATATAATAGTAACTTTTTTCTTTTCTTTTCATACAATGACCAAGTGGCATTTATGTACCTTGAAAGGAATTTTGGAACAGTCCACTATTAAGGCTATTGCCATATAATGATTAATATGAAACTCAAAGAGGGGAGGATGGTTGTTACCTTTTAAGCAATATTTTCATCCTTCAGATCGAAATCTTTTTAGTTGTTTGAAGACAAGTAAATAGATAATATACCAACAGCCAACAGAGACTCGTGGTTATTTAATATCGTCTTAATTTTCACGTCGTGCAAAATGAGAGTATTTTAAGCTAGCATATATATTTATGTATGGGACACTTGCTGTTCGAAAAGATAAGGTAATGGGAATTTGTATGCCCATATTGAAGCTGTCTGTTGTTGGCACCAAGGAAATGAAATCATTTTTTCTTAAAATTTGGTAGACATGGGCCATAGCTTACATAATACTTTGATGTCTCCTGGTTTGTTACATAAATTGCCAGTTGTTTATAGATTGGTTCGGGGTAAGACAAAAATATGATTTTTTTTCACACATTGCATCATTATTCTTGGGCATGGTAGAAACAATCAAACAATTGAGTAGGAAATCAGGTGACACATCATTGTGTAGAGCGTCAAGTCTATACACTTGATTTCGACCAGTAACTAAAGAGACGTAATATAAAAATCATTGTGGAATTGGGACCCTCCTGATTTCGAGAATTCAGATACGTAAAAGAAGTGTCATAGCATACTTAAATTATCCCTATATTAGTGTATACTATGCATTTCCAGTGACTGCTATTACCGACTGATTCTTATAGCAAGTGACAGGATGTAGTTCGTTTATGTATAAACGTATCTTAAATTTGTTAATGGTAAAGGAGATTAAAGGGAACTTGCTAAGAATTTGCTTTCTTTGCAAGGTGAAAAAACGCATTCATGATGGGAATTGATTATGTTTGAAGTTTGACCTGTCATCAGTGACTGTGACTTTCTCGTGACCCAAAACATAATGCTTTACTTTAAGTTATAGGGGTATTTAGGCAATCATAGTATCTTCTCCAGGTTGCATTACCCTTGTGTTATTGACAATATTGATGATGAGAGAAGGATAACATCATCCATGTTTCTTGAACTCTAGAGCTTTGTAGGTGGCATAAATGCTTTTTGCTGGACCATTGTCTGCTTGTCTTGATGATCTTACTTCAAATGATCAATTAATCCATTTGGACGTAATTCCAGACCATTATTAGCATTAGCAGTTTGCCCTCTGTTTTTCACTATACTGCATATGCATATCTAAGTATTCAAGTGGGTAGTACACTGATAATTCTGTTTGGTAGTTTCAAGTACGGCATGGTATAATGCTCCTGTTTGCTTTCAGTATTTTGCTTTTTCAGTGGTTTGTCACACCATTCAGCAGCTTAGCTTTGTGATGTTTTTTTTCAGGAACTTCCTGTTTGGCTGCGTCCATATGCTCATAGAGCTTGGGCTCGTGCGTTTCATTCAAGTATGTAATGAAATTCTTAATCATCATTGTTATCAGTTGTGTTATTAATATGTTGTTTACATAGAATAGAAAGCAGAGAAATATTTTTGCAACATTAAATTACAAGTAACAAACTATAAGCTACTGTCATCTTTATTATATTTTAGACTTGGAAGAGGCGGCCTTGCCTTTGGATCAATACGCGTCACTTAAAGATTTCTTTGTTCGCACCCTGAAAGAAGGTTCCAGGCCAATCGATTCTGACCCTCGTAGTCTGGTAACTGGTAACCAGCTGCTGAATATCTTAAATCATCTATTTATGTTTTACACTTCATTTCTTGTTATACCTTTATGAATTAGCTGATTATCTTACTTTTGCAATCTGCAGATCAGTCCTGTTGATGGTACTGTCATAAGAGTTGGAGAGCTGAAAGAAGGGGTTCTGATCGAGCAAGTTAAAGGGTTCTCCTACTCTGTATCTTCCCTTTTAGGGGCAGGCTCATTCCTTCCTCTTATGGCAGCCAGCGATATACAAGAAGATATTAGTTGTCAAGAAAATAATCTCAGGGATGAGAGCAGAAAGTCATGGTGGAGAATTTCATTGGCTTCGCCAAAACTTAGGGAGTCTTCTTCATCACGGTAAATATGTTTTTGACAACTTCGATTGTTATTTCCGTGAGCTACTAAAGAATTCAAGTTAATTCACAGTTTTATGTTAATTGCAGTCCGATGAAAGGTCTCTTTTACTGTGTTATATACCTGAGGCCAGGAGACTACCATCGAATTCACTCCCCAGTTGATTGGAATGTACTTCTTCGGCGGCATTTTTCTGGTAACTATAATTGTTATGTTAGCTTTATAAGCTGCGCATCTAGGGTAGTCGACTGATCATTGATTTGTGATAACTATGATTACTATATTTCCTGTGACCATGGTGACATGCAAATTGGTTCATGTTAATCTAGTTGGTGTTGTTTGCAAACCAATTTGTGGAATCCAGCATACCTACACAAGTTAAATACGTTAAGCGGAATAAGTATAGAGATAGGATGAAGGGCACACCAAGCATATCTACTAGTTATATTATACTGAAGTTCTTTATCAACATTCCAACTATATAAATTGATGGACTGTAAGTCGAGCTCTGTATATGTTCCTAAATGATGCTGTTCGTCGTATTTGAATCAGATCGAGGACTGGAAGTCTGGAACAAAAAATCCAACCGACGTGAATCGGTTTGGTTCCAGTTTAGAACTGGTAAAATTCCAAGTCGTATTATGAAATAAATACAACCTTGGGTCATTTTAATCTGAAAAATATGGGCCTAAAGGGGCATCGCTTAAAGTTTGGAAAAATAGGAAACTGGTTTGGTTCCAGTTCCAAATCAGATGGAGAACCGGTTCTTTAAAAATTTATAAGTAATAACTGAATCGAATGTAGCCAGTTCCAGTCCAGTTTGGTTCTTCATTTTTGTCAGTTTGGATTTTTGCCACTCATAGTGCACACATCGTATTATAATGACTGCCAGATAGTGCTTACTGAATAAGCGTAATCCCCAAACAGTTGAAGCTCATAAGTTTTGTATACCTGTAGCTATCCTGCAATATTTGCATACTTCAAAATTTACATATCTCAGTTGATTGATGCATAAAATAGTATCAGTGTGATAAACATAGAAGAATATTCTTTACCTATATCTGTCATGCTTTAGTTGTGTATTGCAAACTGTAAACCATGGGGTTAAAAAAGATGCATATTGTAGACTTGTAGTACGATGGCGATGATCAAAGGACTTCCAAGTGAATCAGTTTGCTCTTACCATGTGTAGCTTGTAAATACTGTATTTTCTATTTATCTCATACTGCAGCATAAAAATAAGTTATGTTCATATTTGATCAACATACTTTGTTTCACATATGAATTTTACCTTTTCTTCAGGTCGGCTCTACCCCGTGAATGAGCGTGCTACCAGGACAATAAAAAATCTCTATGTTGAGAATGAAAGGGTAATTCTAAACTTCCTTCTCAAATTGTATGATGGTTGAGTTGTAACCAAGCAGAGTCAGCTCAATTAATAGTTTGTCTTAATATAATTTGTGGACCTATAAGCTAAGTTTGAACAGGGTCGTCCCTGGGAGAGGGCGGGATGGGTGCCTGCCCAGGGCCCAATTTTTTTTCGTATATAGTAGCAGTCCAAGAAAATACTCCCTCCATCCCAAAATAAATTTCCACAATGAAAAGGGCTCGCAGTTTCAGGAATGTGCAATTAGTGCACTTTTTGATTAACCAAATGACAATTCTACCCTTAATAATAGAGAAAGAAATCTTATAGTTAAGGGTAAAATGGGAAAAGTAGATATTTACTTTTAAAAGTGGACATTTATTTTGGTACGAAGGAAGTAGTACATAAAAAGATGCAAAAAGTTTTAGTAAATAACAAGAGCCAAAAAGAATTTAGTAGATAACAAGGGACCAAAAATGTATTAACTAATTACATTAGAGAAAATTTCAAAAAGAAGTTAGATGGCTGTACATTATATGCTATTGCTTATTGGCTATTGCCTCCTGAGTTTTATATCTGGTAGTGGCAACTCCCTGTTCCTTCAGGGATAGATGTCTCGTGAAATTGCCGCTTCTATTTGTGTATAATGTTTATGTCTATGATATATAAAGATGCAGTAGACTTCATACTAACAGGGGCAGAAGACAACAGTTGATATTTTTTAACGATTCTCTTTTGGAGATCAATCATAAACCCCCTGATTTCTGCCCACATATTTACCTCCATATGATTAGCTTAATTAGTTGAACTGTCTAAAACAGTTTTTGATCTTGCAGAATTCATCTTTTCCATGTTACCAGGTTGTCCTAGAAGGTAGATGGCAAGAAGGTTATATAGCAATGGCTGCAATAGGTGCAACAAATATTGGCTCTATCGAGGTTGTGTTAACATCTTTCATTTATCCTTTCTTTTTTTCCCTTTCAGTTTTTTATGCAATTGATATGGAACAGTTCAAGCATCATATATTGGCTACTGCCCTCCCAAGAATCAAACACTGATTCAGACCATGTGGGTTGCCCATTTCATGACGTGGCTCAAAATTCAGGTTATAGGAATAGACATAAAGTATCATGTAAAAGTAGTAGCGCTTAGCTGATTGCTAGCTCACCTATTCAAGTTTCGCAAGGATGTCCACCTCCTTACCCGCTAGGCTGAAGCTGCAGGGACCCACCTATTTAAATTTAGCCTAGAGAAGACTCACATTTCTCTCTGCATGTGTAGCATGGTTGTTGGCCCAATACTTATTACTGACTTGGGTGTATGGCAGCTTTTCATTGAACCAGCTTTAAAGACTAACCAACCAAGAAAGAAGTTGCTCCAATCAGAGGCCCCTGAAGAGCGGGTGTATGAACCCGAAGGCACAGGAGTAATGCTCAAGAAAGGAGACGAGGTTAGATTCTTGTCATCAATGCAAAGCTTTTAAAATCTTGGCTTGAATAAATAATACTCCCTCCTCAAAATAAGTGCCTACATATCTATTTAAGTTTGTCCCAAAAATAAGTGTCCGCTTTGAATAATAGATGGGTATAGTTTAATAAAATTCCAATTCTACCCTTTATCATGACACATGAATATGTAGAAGTTTTTGAAGTATATAATATTTATATACGGCAGATTGAACAAATAAACTCACACACCCTCCTCACATTTGGTGAAGTTTGAACCCCTGACCTCCTAGAAGGCCAAAGACTCACATACCGCTAGGCCAAAGGCCCTTTGGTGTGAATATATAGAAGTTGATGAGATGGAGAGAGAGAGAGAGAAGGTTTGCCTTTATCATGAAGGGTAAAATTGTCATTTGGTTGATTAAAAAAAGGTAGCAAGTACACATTTCTTAAACTGAGTGCTATTTATTTTGAGATGGAGGGAGCTTGTGGTTATGGATCCCATTCCCATATATGCCATAAGAGGATGAGTAAGACCCACAAAATGGTTGATTAATAAATGATATAGGAGAGCATCAAGAATAAAGACATTTGTGGTGACTTGCACTAGACAAATACTGTCATAATGTTGGGATAATCTAGCAACTTTCAAGCCTTTTAAGAAAATCTTACAACTTCCAAAATTAAAGTCTCCAATTCCTTTGGATGTTTCCTCTTCCCTACTTAGAGCCACTTGAGCTAAATAACCTATAATATTCGCATATGTTGTCATAATCTAAAAACAATTATATTTTCTATATGAAAACGAGTCACTTATTGCTATATAAGTTGTCAACTACAGTTGATATGCCATACTGCTATCAAAAATTGAAGATTATATGTTTCAGGTAGCTGTGTTTAACATGGGATCAACGGTGGTGCTAGTTTTCCAAGCTCCTGCGTTGAAAAAACAAGAAGACGAAGCATCATCATCAGAATTCAAGTTCTGTGTCGAAAGAGGCGATAAAATACGAATGGGAGAAGCTCTAGGACGGTGGCACGATCTATAACGCTTTATAAGTGCACCTGTTATTTGTGTTTTAGAGACAATAGAGAAGTAATTTAGAAGAGAAGCATGGAGTAGAATTTTGATCATGGGAATTAGCATTAGACATGGTTTGGTCTTCTTTTTGGGTCCAGACCCCATATTTTCGTAGTTTAATGAATCTGAAACTGAACCAAACAGCTATTAAGATCGTTGCTGGTTTGAGTCTAGTTTTTGGGTCCAACATTATCAATGATAAAACTGCAAAATATCAATCGACCAAAAGTACACCTAGTTCGGCCTCTCCTCTGTGAACCACTTATGAATCCCCTTTTTTATTTTGTTGGAATTTTTTACATAACAGAAGGGAAGTTCCATCAGGTTCTGTTACAAGTGAAATCATATATATGAGATCTAATTTCAATTGATGAAAACCATTTGGACCAATTTATGGTTGGCGGATAAAGAGATGAGCATCTTCGCAAACACTCCATTTTAGTGGACTAAAGTTTTACCCGATAAGTGCTGATCATTACTCTTATCCGGTAAGACCAATTTAGTGGACTAAAGTCTTACCAAACACTTATCCGTGTTTATTGTAAAATTTAACACTACTACTTACTTACCGGATAAGACTTTGTTCACTAAAACGGCATCGTATGCAACAATTTACAGAGTAAGCGCTTACCATGGTAAGAGTCGTCGCCTTCACTTACCGGGTAAGACTCTCGGTTCTTGTTTTCCTCTTACCGGGTAAGATTCTTGGTCCTTACCATATTTATCTGGTAAAGTAATGTGACTTGGTAAACGCTTACCCGAGTAAGCGTTTGGTAAACGTCCCCTTACATTTACTATAAAGCTCTATTTGTCAATTAGAGTATTTTCATATGCGAATTTATTTTCCTTGGAATGTAAGCAAGTTGTTAGAAAAAATAAATGGTATTCAATAAGGGAAAATTTTAGTTGCATCATTGTGCGATCAACTTGGCTGTAAAAGTATAATAGGAGCCATGATGCTTTGGAATACAAAATAGTTGGTGTTCCCATTTTTATTCGGATTATAAAACCCTAAACACACTGTGTGTGTTTTGCCCCTGCCCTTCTCGCAAGTTTCTAATCAATTTTATTGTGTATGGAAGTGGCATTTTCTCTTAAGCAATAACATTCTCAAAACCGTTAGAAGGTCATGAATCTCGAGGAAAAAAAAAACTTGACAGAAAGTCACCTTTTTATCCTCTATTGACACAATGCCGCATTTACCCTTTACGCATAAACAAGATAAAGAATTATGCATTAAATTATTAATCAAACTAACAAAACTAACAAATGCAATCAACATAAGTCTGATGGCAAATAAAAGGGGACCCAGATATCCATCAAATAAAAGGGAAAATGAACTGGATTTTGTCGTTCTTATAAAGAAGTATTAAAGCGCCTAGAGAGATCAGACTACACATCAGGAAATACATCCAAAAAAACTTGAAAAACAGCCTCAACTCAAGGATGTCATTTCTAGGATGAACTCGAGTCCTGAATATCACAGATGAGAGTTTTGAGCTTAAAGCATTTACATTCCCTGTGTGTGCATACTTGCTATGAGCTCACAGTCTCTCTTCTTTGAGTCAAACTACAAAAACCAAACACAATTCCATGTCTTTGCATCTCTATATCATAACTTTGCTCCTGAAACAATAACCACATTCTCATTTTAGTATGGGCCCTCATTTGACACAATGACTTTTTGAGTTCAACCATCAAATACAACACTAAAATGTACAAGCAAATGAAAATCCTCAACTTGTGTACAAGCAACCCTATTGGGAATTCCTTACTACTTCTACAAAATTCAGTGCTCTCCCTGTGTGCGAACAAATGAGATACATATTCTAGAGTCCACTCTGCAAAAGAAAAAAGGAAAGGAGAAACAAGGTTCTGCAATGGACATCCCATATAGTGCAGATAGTAGAAAGCCCTCAATCTTGTCAATCACCATGAGATGTAGACAAGCTGATACCATGGAGGATATGTTGCATTACATTGCAGTTCAACTGATAATGTGTCTTTGTTATCTCATATATTGGATTGCAGGTTCAATGCTCTTTATGTATTAAATAAACACCCACTCATACATTGAATTAGTTGTAACGCAGATTAAAATGCAGGAAGTGCAATATATGGAGGTGGCTATACTCTTTTGTCTTGCTCCCAACTCGATTAATTAAAAAGCACCCGTTTTATCATGGGTCCAAGATATAGTTGACATAACTCATTTTTTATCCGTAATTGATGCTCCAATTAACTCTAAATTGTCATTTGTCACAATATCATTTGGAAACCCTACATTCCGGGAAATTTCACTAGCATAAGCTGCAGCACTTATGGATGTCGTCACTTGTACCATTCAGCTTAAGATCATTTCCACCTACCGTCATGATAACTCTCTTCGGGCTTCTTATGAAGGTGAGATATGGCCCTCCTAAGGTTATCAACCCCCGCCCAAGGAGCCCGTTCCCACTTCTTTGAACATATTGCTTGGAGAAAATTAGCTTCTTGTTGCACCACTGTACATGGATTATTGGAGAAGAGGATGCCATTTGGCATGATTTATTGTGATAGGTTTCTCTATGTTGCCAATTGCCCCCGACTATAAACTACTGGTAGAGAAACCTATCACAATAAATCATGCCAAATGGCACCCTCTTCTACAATAATCCATCTTAGACCATCCTTTTATTCTTTAATGAATCATTAAGCAGAAAGTAGCCGATGAAACTGGTAGTTATACCACTGATTCAGATATAAAGCTGTTCAAGCCTGGGCCTCACTGCTCAGCTGGGTATATCATGCTTGTGACTAACGGCATTTTGGGCATATTGAAAGATCTGCTGAGCATGACTCCTAAAATGCACAACTGGAGGGCCTTATTTCCCTCTGGTTTTAATACTCTCCTTTCTTCTCAACAAGAGAAAGTTTTGCAGTCCTTGGCCACCAGAAATTATTATGTAACTGCGTACGTTGGGCCGCGCCTTCTTTATATTTCTTCTCCTATAACTGAGCTACTAGAAAGCTCAGTATTTGGCCCTCCAGATGCAGCTATATCCTTCCTTTTTACTTTGGATCGGTTTTTGTCTCCTAATCTGGTTATTCTGCCGGTCTAATCCAACTGTGTCTATCTTTGTTATATATCTTCATTTATATTTCTTCCAAGAAGCAGGTTCATGATATCCATACCTTCTTTTGATTTTAGATAATCTTCTGTACTTAATAGATTCCACTTCATGCCATGCCTTGGGTCATTTTGGGGTCTTTCAGTCTCTTCTTAGCAAAATTTATCTCCTCCAGATGCACTCATTGGATTGGAGGATATAATTAATAGAGAAAAAGAAGAAGAAGAACCCTAAGCAATTGCATTGAAAATGGAGAAATATCATCGTAAAATACACGAGTTTCAATTCCATATCTAAACTGTAAGACTAGGAGGTTAAGAATTAACAACAATGCGAGTAATTTATTTACCAATAATTCATAATGAACCACAAAATACAAATGAAAACTAAAAGAAAGGCACACCTACGTCTGTTTAGCGAAAGATGAAGAAGACGGAACACGTTTGTTGCGGAACATCATGTAACCAAGGGGTAAAACGACGCCAATCATCATGATTGCTGATCCGATCAAGTATCTCACAGGACTCGGTGGTTCCACCTCCAATAAGAACCTCTTCATCTGCAACAAAATCAAAAAACAATCTATTTGAATTTAGACGTAAGAAATTCGATTCAACAAAAGTTTGTATTACTAATACTAAGATAAGATCATAGATGTTCAGTAGACAAATCACAAAGTTTGCGTGTGGAGAGTGGAGTAGAACCCTAGATCTCCTCCAAGAGTGAATCGAGAGAGATGACTTACAGGCATCGTCTGGTTGGGTGGGAGATGCTCGATGGCACGAATTGTAAGATCCAATAATTTTCCATGTATTCGAATTTGAAGGATTGTTTATCACATTTTTTTTATTAATTCCTATAAGAATAAATTTGTTTGTACGGATAAATTGGTATTGTTGTTTTTTTATTTGAACAAAAGTTTGAATAACATAAATGACTAATTTATCCTCAGTCTTAATTATTTGAACATCAAAATAAAAAAATTATAAAAAGGTTGATGATGGTCGATGGGGTGTCTCATTTGGGAATGAGGTGATGTTTTAAATAAGGGGTAGGTGTGTCATTTTTGTGGTTGAATGAGAACAAACCATTTATATCTATGCGATAAAGCCATGTTCTGTACAAATAAGCTGTAAAGTAAATAACCCAAATGAGTTGTGCGAATAAACCAGATACATCAATATGCCTAATTAAGCCGCAAGTAAACGGCCCCTTAAATCTTTTAGAAATGAAGAAAATAAATAAATAATTAATCAAAACTAATCAACATGGATCGGTTTGGGTTCGGGTTTGGTTAAAAAAACCTGACAACCCGGTCTAACCCAACTTGAAAAAATTCAATCCATAGTTAACTAGCATACATGTACAACAAACTTAAAGGCTCGAGGTCAGGCCAGGGCTATCCAATGTCTGAAACGACCCTAAAAGCTTGAGGAGTGGGGACTAATGGGTGTAAACCGGTTGAAATTTTGGTGGCAAACTAGAACTACGTTTGGCGTAAAAAGGCTTGGAAAAGCCTTGTTAACCTGAAAAGGGTGGCTGGATTTTCAACTCGAAAATCCAGTCTGGACCTAAGAAAGTCCAAGACTTTTTTTTGCTCACTGAAAACAAGTTCGAAAGGCTTGGATCATGTACATATCTATTATCCTGTAACCTAATTGGTACAAAATAGCATCAACCGCATCTATTGAGTTGGAGATGGATTAAGTCCAACAAAACCAAACACGAATGAACCGACTAATAACTAATTAACCATCCCCAAAAGGTCTTCAATGGTTAGGCCTTTATCCACAACGATCCAACTCCATGATGTTTGTCCAATCGAATTCAATCTCGATAGCTTTCTAATTTTTCATTTAAACCATATTTGACAACCATAAACTACCTTATTTTTTGGAATGATAAAAAATTCCGTTTTTTATCTGGATTATGCTGAGAAATGAAAATGAGAATGACAGAAAATGAAAATGGGAATGGATTTTCGTCCCCTCTAATTTAACCAAGAATAAAAATTTGGGCTTTTGGGGGAATGATCCCCTTATATTACAGAAAATCATACACATATTAACAACATATTTTAAACTCTATCATTTCAAAAAATAAAATATGTAGCTTAAAATTAAAAATTGTTTTAAAGTAAATTGTTTTTTTTTTTTTTGTTAACTGTGAAGGTTCAGATCAGTTTATTTGTATCTTAATAGAGGTCCTGAAGAACAGCCAAAAAAGCTCCAATGGTTTTGCAAGATTTAAACCAGTAATCTCTAAGAAAAATCATTACAACCCTAAGTTTTATTGTCAATTAAGCTAACCTAAAAGTGAAATGTTAGGGTGTGCATTTAAAGTAAGTTGCAATTATAATGGGGGGCAAAAACATGACATTTAGAAAGTTTAAGGACGTAAAGTGAAAGAAACGCAATAGTTTGCGTAAACCGAAAACGACAGCGTATGTCCCTGAAATATGCATCCAAAATTTCAACCGGATCAGTGGATGGAACAGGAAGGAGCGAGATTGGATGCGCCATAGCCATTGTTCTAGAGAGAGAAACAAGAGAGAGGGAGAGAGCAATGGGTGTTCTTCGAAGAATATCATCAAGAACCTTATTGTTTCCTAGGGTTCTTGAATCCGCCAATAGATCCTTGAATACCCTCCCGGTGCCTTCTACTCCCCTCTCCAATGGCATTCATGTATTATATTGTCCTGTAAGTATAACTTGCTTACTCATCCTATCATTGGAATCGACGGATTTAGTCTCTCTTGTACATTTAAGAAATTTCTATTAGTAAACGGAAATTGATCTTGTTTAAAATTTCGCACACGCACAATCAATTTTGAAGCTGAGTGATTGGTGATAACTCGATTTAGGTTTTGATATATAAGATGCTAATTTGTGCTGATTTTGATGCAAATTCAACACACATTCTATTCTATACTCGTTATAACGTTTGATATTAGTTGTTAATTTGTTCTGAATTCTGAATCGGAAGAAGAACGATTGGAACTCCCCGATTTTAGATTTTGATATTGAAGTTGAAGTTACTTACTAAAAGAGTGAAAATGCAATTCTGACCTTTATGGGTTGAGCTGTTAAACGAACACAAAATGGATCAAACACATTCTAGTTGGGAAGAACGTAAAAAAAGGGGACAAAAACGTGGTGGCCCTTGATTATTAATGGATTTACATGATGGATCTTTAAGAAGTTTGATGGCAGAATAACAACATTATTACCCCCAGAAGAATTATCAATCACCTGATCAAGATTAGTAGCACTGACAAATTTTAAATATTTGACAATTAATACACCTAAAATTAGCAGATGTCATATATTCTATGTCCAGTGATGTGGACAGTGTTGAGATACATTTGTTGGACAAAATTATAAGCATTGTGATGTATTTATGATATCATTGTTAATTAAATAGAATTAGCTGTCAATTTGTTTACATTCCACATGCATAATTAGCTAAAGGTATTAATGTCCATCGTGATTGTTTATTTTCATTAATTATTTTTATTTTTATACCAAGTATAGTGTTTTTTATCATTTAGAAAAGTACGGTGGTACGTTTTGCAAGTTCTTGTGCCACCACATAGGCAAAAGCCATTAGTTAAATTAATGGTCGTTAAGTTTTTGTCTGGTTCCATGTGTTTTTGGCAGCTACAATGTCTTTTTTCTCATTTACATGGTCTGAAGTATAATGGTTGTTTAACAACTGAAGATCTAAGTTTTGTGATTGGAAATGTTCACTCCTTGTTAAAGAGTTTGATGTAGTTATCAATTACTAGTTGAAAATTGTAGAACTCGGATCAGTTATGACATTGGGAAAAGACCCTTTGATCCAAATGCAAATCACGTAGCTCTTCTTTTGAAAGGGAGTATTCGTTATTGGTTTTCAGAAATATGGAGAAATAAACTTGATTACTGTGATGTTAATGATAGGACAGTGTTGGGATTGTGGCCAAGATATCCGAATGTATTGCATCAAGAGGTGGGAACATATTGGAAGCTGATATATTTGTGCCCCAAAACAAAAATGTGTTCTACTCCAGAAGGTCTCCCCTCTATCTCAACACAAACATGTGTCTGTGTGTGTGTCATGTATATTTAATTCATTTACTTTGGTTTCTTTGTTTTTAGTTCAACTACTTGATGTGTTTGTAGTTGAAGACAAGCATTAGCATTCAGGACATAAGAGGTTGGAGATGAATTTGGCTGCTGTATTGATTAGATCCTTTTATGAGGCATGCTTTCTTCTACACTAGATCAATTCCTGTAGCATAGTGTTAGAAAACAACTTTGTCGATCGGGACTTCTCTATGTTTCAATTACAAGCTTCCGTCAATGAGTTGTCAGAGAAAATGGTTCTAACTTAGCTAAGAGAATTTTTCATTCATTTTTAAGGATCATTCAAGCTATTTGCTCTATAGGGGCAGTGGAATACATTGTCAAGGTGCAGTGGCTTTGAAGAGGTAGAGCTTATAAGAAGATCAACATAGTTATTTTTGTTGTTTCGGACAACATAGTTTGTTAATGCCTGGTTACAGTTCAGGATTTTTCTTCCCATTAGGTAGAGCTAATTGATGTTTGCATTCAAAAAACTGAAGATGACACCTTTTTTTTCAACTTGCAGCGAATTCGTCTTCGATCCTACTAAATGGCCACGGGCACAAATGGATGAGGACGTTCTTAACTTATCAAAAAAATTCAATGCAAACAGATCTGTTGTCCGGGTGCCTTCTTTAGATCCCAAATATAAAATTGCGGTTCTTGCTTCTAAGCAGGTTTCTTTCAAGTCTACTGTATATGCACATTCTTTTTTATACTGTTGGGTTATCATTCATAAACCTTGTGCTTAATTTTTCCCTTCTCTTCTGCAGGACCACTGTCTTGTTGATTTGTTGCATGCATGGCAAGATGGAAAACTTCCTGTTGATATAAGTTCTATCATCAGGTAAAGTATAGGGTTTCATTCTTTCTCGACGTTTATTAACTATGCTCATTCCATCTGTGACCAAGAGCGTATTTGAACAGTAATCACGATAGGCTTCCCAACTCCCATGTGATTCGGTTCCTTGAAAGGCATAATATCCCATATCACTATCTGTCTACAACAAAAGAAAATAAAAGAGAAGATGAGATATTGCACTTGGTTCAAGATACAGATTTTCTAGTCCTTGCTAGATATATGCAGGTAATCTTTCATAACTTGGTTCCAGTTAAACCATATTATGTATAGGTGCCCTTTTTTTGGAAGTATATGATATTTATATACGACAAATACTCATGCACACTCCTCACCTTTCTTCTGAAACCTTGACCTCCTGGAAGGCTGAGCTCTACCAGTAACCGGGTAACATTAGACCAATGACCCTTTGGTTAGGTGCCTTTTTTCATGCATAACTTTTTCCTTCATCAATGCCCAGTGAGCTTCTACATTGATGCTTTTTCAGAAAGTAAATTGGTGCATAGTGGAACAACATAGGAAGAAGTGTATGCTTTATTGGATTCAACCACGCCAATTGAGTAATGGTTCTAATATGATCGAGCAATATATTTCTTTAAGCAGGTTTTATCTAGAAGTTTTTTGAATAGATACAAGAAAGATATCATTAACATTCATCATGGCTTATTGCCATCATTCAAGGGTGGGAATCCTTCTAGGCAGGTTTGGTCTTCCATCCTTCTTCATTTTCTCATGGTGTTCAGTCATACAACGGATCAAGGAAAAATTAAAGTATAATCTTCTAACTTTTTCTGGTGTGCTGCAGGCGTTTAACGCTGGTGTAAAATTGATTGGTGCGACAAGCCACTTTGTGACGGAAGAACTTGATGAAGGACCAATAATCGAACAAATGGTAAATATACTGATTTTACCCACTTTGTTCAATTTGTGCCTCCAATTTTGTTTGTACAGTTATACTTATATAGCAATAATTATGCTTAAATGACTTAACTCATGGCCTGAAGTCTAATCATGTTGTTTTTTCCTCTTCTGTTAAAGTTCACAATGTATTTGGCTAGGTTGGCAGTTGGCACTAAATACTTTAGGCTACTAAAAGTTGTTAGAATTATATCATATTTTCCATAGTGTGACGTTGGCCCTTTACGTATCACAACTTGTATCAATAACTATGCTTAAATGACTTAACTCATGGCCTGAAGTCTAATCATGTTGTTTTTTCCTCCTGTTAAAATTCACAATGTATTTGGCTAGGTTGGCACTAAATACTTTAGGCAACTAAACGTTGTTAGAATTATATCATATTTTCCATAGTGTGACCTTGGCCCTTTACGTATCACAACTTGTATCAATTATTACTTAGTGGGTAGTGGTAATTTTCTTTTTTAAAACCCCACACTTATGATAACTCCATATGGACCCTGGAAGATAATATTCTTGATGGACAATTTTGCCTGCTTTGTCTTGAGTATTTGAAGAAGGGTGGTGCAGACCTCACAACTTCATCTTCCTAAATTTTTTGGCATGCTTTCCAATTTACTGAAAATTGTGAATACCAGACGCTCTTAAGGTAAGAAAATTAATGATCATGACCCTTCCAAATTCCGTCATCAAGATCTTCTGTTAAACGTGAGGGCCAAGCTTACACGCAAAATAGTTGTAAGTTCACTCTTTATTTGTGTGATAAGGGATTAAATCAATATGTAAAAGGACCACCGGAGGGTTGTCTGGCTGTTAACTTTAGGACCCCATGGAATTAGTCTAGGTGTGCGCAAACTGGCCTGGACACCCACGTCTACCAAAAAAAGATGATTGCTTTACACTAAAATATACCCCTAGCAAGTGGGAAAGTTACTTGGATTGGCATCCGAAATATAGCCCCTAACTGTACTTGATACTTTCACCACAAAAGTATCAACACAAGCACGGTAAGTTTGATCTTATCTTTGGCTTTTCAGGTTGAGAGAGTTTCACACAAGGATAATTTGCTGAGTTTTGTACAGAAATCAGAGAATCTTGAGAAACAATGCCTTCTAAAAGCGATAAAATCCTATTGTGAGTTGCGTGTTCTACCTTATGAAGAGAACAGAACCGTTGTCTTTTGAGGTAACTACAAAGGGAAAGTTCAAAGTTTGTACACGCTTATTACCTCATTAATATTTGTTGATGTTACATTTGGAGTGGTTATTGTATTTCATTTTCCATATATTACCATTAAGAAGTTCATTATATCATATGCTTTGTGTCATATTCACATGGATGGTTCAAACTTAGCTCCTTAGAAGTTTTAGTAAAGAACTTTGGCCCATTTGCTTTGAACCTCTCTTTCAGGCAAATGGCACACAGAGTTTTGAAGGTGCGGTGTACACGCATCATTTGCCTTCAGATGTCATGGAATACCCGGTGAGTTGTTCTCCATCAAGCCTCTTTTAGGCTAATGTATTGTTAGTTGACCCAAGTGGCATAAGTGTTGAACTAGAAACCTCATGCTCAATATGAAGCCTTATGCATTCTCCATTCTACGTGTTTTTGTAACTGTGGGAGTCCAGGCCAGTTTGTGCATAGGCGCCTTGAAGTTAACAATTGGTCAAACCCTCTAGTGGTCCTGAAGGACTTTTAACTCTTGCCGGTTGACCTATCTTTATGGGATATAAAATGTTATTCGAGTTTACGAAAATTCCTACTTTTACTTTGAATGCTATATAGGTATATGTACGAATTCGCTTTTTGTATCTATTATAATACTTATAGAGGGAGTATAGTGGTGTAAGTTACACCTTTATAAGTCATAGACTATGTTAGTTCAAGATGAGAGAGGGGGGGGGGGGGGGGGGGGGGAGATATCTATGTCTTTTGAAAAATTGGGAACCGTTGGTCAACTGAAACCTTACCAATTGGCGTTTTAATGGGTTTAGGGTTTCGAGCGAGTGGTTTGGACGGTCGTAGTAAGTATTTCATTCTCTACCTTCGAGTTGGTCATCAGGTCATGGACGAGTTTACACATGCGATGGTTCATAACTTTTGTTGAAGATATCTTGTGATTTATTTGACCAAATAATGTTTCGATAAAAAGTTGGGAGTTATAAAATTGAAAGACGAAAGATTTGGAAACAAGTTGCTAAATTATGAAAGGAAGAAAAACCTGACAAAGATAAACTGTTATAAAGTCTGATGTGATATGCATTTGATTTTTTTTCCAAATCATTAATCTGATGTCATTTAAAATGATTTTAATGCATTATTAACCTGATATGGACCTTGTTCATTAATTATATACAGAAATGGAGATGATATTATGATATGTAAAAAGGGGTATGATATCATGTTTTACGGTACTGTTAATATACTGATCATACACCGTCATGAAAGAGAGAAATCGCGTGTCTTAAGATTCAAAAGGAGATATAAACACTTATTCACATATCAAGATTACAAGCTTAGGATTTTCCAAAGGAAGATAAAGATACAAACTTGGGAGATTATGGTGTGGTCAAATGTGAATAAGATACATTAGTATCTCGTCAAAATTGACCCTTTACCTTCCATAATTCTCAAAATGATCCCCAAACAAAGAGGATATTACAATTTCAACCCTTAAATAAACATGAAATACAATTGAAAACCACGAAACGACTAGAACTTTTTAGGCATAGTCTTCAGAGGCTGGTAGTGGAGCGTATGATCCGATGAAAACATCACCATAGATAAGCCCAGCTAGACCACCGCCGATAAGTGGTCCAACCCAGTAAATCCAGTTCTCTGAGAAGTCTCCACTAGCAACAGCAGGTCCAAATGATCGAGCAGGGTTCATTGAACCACCACTGAATGGGCCGGCAGCCAAGATGTTAGCTCCAACAATGAACCCAATTGCAATGGGTGCGATGGTTCCTAGTGAACCCTTCTTGGGGTCTGCTGCAGTTGCATAAACTGTGTAGACTAGGGCAAATGTTATGATAATCTCCATCACTACTCCTTGGATAGCATTCATGCCATCAGCAACTCCATGGGTTGGAACAGCCTATCAGATAGCAAACAATCCATATTCAGTATTTATAGAAAAATTAGTTGAAAACGAGATTAAGTTGACTAAATCATCTGATTTTCTCGATTAGCTTATCAAACACCGAAATTTAACAACCAATTAAAACTAGATTTGGCTTGTGGTGTGTATGTGAGTGAAAAAGCCACTTGAGCCCCAAACTCCAAAGTTTAGGCTTAGGTCTTAGATCATGCATAATAAACATCTTTCGTTATAAAAAGAGAGTCATACCAGTCCTCCAGTGACAAACTGGAGAAGGAATGAAGCAACAATGGCACCAAGTAATTGGGCAATCCAATAAAATAAGCCGGTTAGGATAGTGATGTTGCCGCCAATAGCCAATCCAAAGGTGACGGCCGGATTCAAATGGCCACCTGAGATGTTGGCTGCCATTGAGACCCCGACAAATAGTGCAAAAGCATGAGCAACTGCAATAGCTACCAGCCCAGCAGGATCTAATGCTGCATCTGCTGTGAGCTTACCTGCAAAATAAAAAAAAATGTTACAATAACTTACATGATATGAGTCAACTGGGTATAGAAATACGCCAAGTTCAACTTATTAGGTCTACTAAAACGACTTCTTTTATTTTCATGTATGCAACTACACATGTAAAAAAACGTAAATCCACCAAATGAAAACTCACCATAAGCAATAGCTGACCCAACACCCGCAAACACAAAAAGAAGTGTGGCAATGAACTCAGCTAAATACGATTTGAGTGAGCCAACACTGAACGAATCACCAAAATCACCAAATGCCAACTTCACCATTTTCAGTAGCTTTACGATCGAAACTATGAAGTCAAAAAGTCAAAGATATTGATGATTTACTTTTGTGAGTTCCTAGTTCCTCAACAAAGGGTTATATATAGTACCCAAAGTTTTCATATTTTAAAAAATAAAATAAAAGAAATAAAAATATGAATTTATTTTTGGAATCATTAAATAGTGACCACTAGGTTTTTATGTATAGAGAATGTTTGGAGGCACCGACCATGGGCCCAAGAGGGTTAACCATGACCACTCATTGGTTCCAACCCACCGGCCTAAGATTTCAAATATTTTCTTGATCATGAGTGGAGACAGATAATTAAATATAATTAATAAAAGATTATGAAGATAAGCTTAATTATGTGTTATGAAATTAATTAATTGAAGTGAACTCCAAATGATTGAAGGCTGAGTCATCTTCGTTAAAAAGTTTGAATAAAGTAATATGCGACCGTTAGTAAATTTTATGTTGGGATTCGATTCAAACGAGATTAATAATTAAATAATAGAATATAAAAACGGTCGAATATATGTGATTTTATATATATATATATATATATATGTGTGTGTGAGAGAGAGAGAGAGAGAGAGAGATTTACTAGAAGCAAAAGAAGAATTAGTAGCGAAAAACCGATCATTATTTACCAACAAAACATTGTCTAACCAAATCAAATTATATGCATATATATATATATATATAGAGAGAGAGAGAGAGAGAGAGAGGGGGGGAGGAAGAGAGGTTCAGGTGAAAACCTCAAAAAAAAATGAAAATGAAAAAACACTATATGTGTTAAGCCATAACCTACCACATTCATTTTCCATCGAAAATCTATTCATTGATTTATTATTTGTTTGTATGTGTAAAACCATAGGCTACCATTTTCGTTTTTTTATCGAGAAGGATCGGGAACCCATCGAGATCGATCGACAATCCATTGGATTGATCGACACCAATCGAGTCCAATCAAGAACTCATCCATTGACTTGATGTTGGTTGTGTGTTACAATCATAATATAACGCCTTCATTTTTCATCGAGGCCAATTGAGAACATATTGATTATTTTGTTGTGCATTTGTTTGTATAAAACCATAACATACCACTTTTAACTTTTATCGAGATAGATCGAGAAATCTATCGAGACGAATCGGGAACTCATCCAGACCAATATAAAACACAATAAAGAAAAAGAAAAAAAAAAACTAAAGTATGTAAAGTTGATATTGTAGTATATTCATGATAAATAATATGTATATGCATGAAGAATATTATGGTGAAAGTTAATAATATATGATAAATATCATACTAATATAAATAGTAGAGTTATTATATACATGTGATCATACATAAATATTTATGATGAATAGTATGCATATTCATGATGAATGTTATAATGAAAATGTATATTAATAACGAATATTTTACTGATGTATGAATGTTGAAAAGTTGTTTTATACACGTTAACATATATATTACTTTTTATGATGAATAGTGTGTATCATATTAATGTACGAATACTAAAGAGTTATAGTTTACTTGTGAACACCCCCCCCCC